GAGACCAAGCGTCTGTTACAAGGATTAGTGAGAAGGCGCATGAGAGAACGGGCTGTAGCGCTGCAGACACAGATGGAGGAGATACTAGAACAATTGACTGGATGCATTAAAGAGGTTTTTGAAGAAGGGTCTCGGATTATGGAAGAAGATGAGAACGGGGAGATTGCTACAGGGACCAAGAAAATCGCACCCGTGGTGAAGCCGTTTGATGGGATCGGTGTATTGTAAAATATCATTTCAATGCTCTGGAGGTGTAGCTACATGAAGTTATGTCCACTGATACTTGTCGAAGGCTTATAAACTGCTAGATATGGTGGATTTACGGAATACAAGAGTTCTTTATGCTGCCTCCTATATATGTACTTATTGCTGCATGTAATGTATTGCAGTCACCAACCTGATATACTACATCAGCCCTGGACTCCCACGCAGCGAAGACAAGCATTGGCATTCAAATACTTGAATAATATTATTACATATCGTGATATTGAAGAGGTAGAAATATGTGCATATTAGTATAACCATGTATATTATTCATCCCATCAATTTTTGATCATGATCATATTATCTTCCCATATTCTTCGCCGGCGCAAGTCTCTGGGCAGCGAAACTAAATGCAGCGATAGAGGTCACAAAGAATAGTAGATTATAGAACTTTACAAGAACTTGAATTAGTAAACAAAACAAATCGCAACTATTAGGTGACTGACCGCCGTCCTGCTGTACGCACTTTCTTCTTGCTCACTTCGCGAAGCAGCAAAGAGCTTGCGGAGGTTTGGGAGTTCGAAAGATGCCTGTGCGATACCGCAAAAGGCGATTCGTTTAGTTCGACATATATTACCAACCTAAAGTAGCGGGATTTGGGTCTAGTAATTAAAATGCTTACCATGGGAAGTTGTCCGTTTTTGATTACCCTTAGATAGCTGTTGTTGTATGAGGAAGCAAGGTCCACGTTTTTGAATGGGGCTGACACCTTGACCATCGATTGCTATGTAACCGACCATCATCCATTCACACCTCCGTTTAGAACCCCTCCTCCACCACAACAATAATCACCCACGACAAGCAACAACAATTTTCAGAGCTGCTTTAGCCGCTCCTAGGAACTTCCCCCGCATACTGGCTTGCAGCTGGTTCAGTTAGTCGTTCTTCAGAATACCAAAAACTATGGCGGCCAACAGAATACGGAGCATGTTCCCCGTCGCCCCGCGCAAGGGCGAGACTTTCGAGCTAAGAACTGGATTGAATTCTCAGTTCGCACACGAGAGGTACATAAGTTCCACTTTCCCCTCTCAATCGGAGAGAATCCCATGAGCTCCATCCGTGGCTAATAATCCGTGTGGGCTCCAGGAAAGATGCGATTAGGAACACCATTGCCGCCATGACGTTAGGAAAGGATGTCTCAGCACTATTCCCTGACATTATCAAGAATATGGTGGGGCATTCCTGTGGATCGAGTCAACTCTTGTGGTTATCTTTAGCTGTGAAAAGCTGGAGTTCTGACTATAAATGTCACCTTTAGGCCACGAGTGATCTAGATCAGAAGAAGCTTGTCTACCTATATCTAATGTGTGTATTCGTATGGCTATTATCGCATTAGATACTAATCTCGTATTTCAGGAACTATGCAAAAACTCACCCGGACCTCTGTATCCTAGCTGTTAATACTTTCGTCCAGGTTAGTCCCATTGTGAGATCTAGCATAGGAGGCTGTAGCTTATTTGAAGAGCAGGACTCAGAAGACCCGAACCCATTGATAAGAGCGCTTGCTATTAGAACGATGGGATGTATTCGGGTGGATAAGATTGTAGATTACATGGAGGAACCGTTACGAAAGACTTTGAAGGTGAGAGTCCCAAAAATATCCTCATGGGTTGTGATCTAATAATTAACTTCTTGAATAGGATGAAAGTCCTTATGTGCGAAAAACGGCAGCAATTTGTGTAGCGAAACTCTTTGATCTTAATCAGTCTTTATGCTTGGAGAACGGTTTTTTGACAACGCTCCAAGAGTTGATTGGCGATTCAAACCCAATGGTAAAATCAATCATACTAAAAAATTTAATGTAGCCATGTGCTTATAAAAACATTCCCCAGGTTGTTGCAAACTCAGTAACAGCACTTGCGGAAATTATGGAGGCAGCACCGGAAACCGAAGCCCTTCTTGTCACGCCCGCAACCTTGAAAAAGCTGCTCATGGCTCTGAATGAGTGTACTGAGTATGTGCCATTTAATCTTTGTAATAGCTCTTGGGCTAACTAATAACGTCAGATGGGGACGCATCACAATTCTAACAACTTTGGCTGAGTACAAAGCGCAAGATGTCAAGGAGGCGGAACACATCTGTGAAAGAGTTGTTCCCCAATTTCAGCACGTAAATCCTAGCGTAGTATTGGCCGCTGTAAAGGTTATCTTTTTGCATATGAAGGTAATCAGCCCCGAGCTCTGTCGGCAATATATTAGAAAGATGGCGCCTCCTCTTGGTATGCTATGCATTCATCTGTTCCTGGTGCTGGATACGAGCTGATTCAATTATATAGTTACTCTTGTTTCATCTCAACCAGAGGTTCAATATGTTGCGTTGCGAAACATCAATCTTTTACTTCAGAAGCAGCCAGATATCCTCACGAAGGAAATGCGGGTTTTCTTCTGTAAATATAATGATCCTCCGTACGTCAAGCTAGAAAAACTCGAGATCATGATCAGGATTGCCAATGAGAAGAATGTTGATCAACTTCTCATGGAGCTTAAGGAATATGCTCTTGAAGTAGACATGGATTTTGTACGAAGAGCTGTGAAAGCGATTGGGCAAACAGCTATCAAAATTGATGCTGCTGCGGAACGATGTGTTAATGTTCTACTCGAATTAATTAACACTAAAGTAAACTACGTGGTTCAAGAGGCCATTGTAGTTATCAAGGTGGGGTGGCTTATTGAATGATATTCCCTAGAAATTCCCATGCTAACACTGTGGCAGGATATCTTCCGGAAGTACCCTGGCTATGAGGGCATTATTCCGACATTATGCAAGAGCTTGGATGAACTCGACGAGCCGAACGCTAGGGGGTCTCTCATTTGGATTATTGGAGAGTATGCTGAGAAGATCAATAACGCCGACGAGCTTCTAGAAACCTTTATGGAAGGTTTCAAAGATGAGTACACACAAGTTCAACTACAGCTTTTGACTGCAGCTGTGAAGTTATTCTTGAAAAAGCCTCAATCGCAAGCACTCGTACAGAAAGTGCTCCAATGTGCAACAGCGGAGTGCGACAACCCGGATATCCGGGATCGAGCCTACGTATATTGGAGATTGCTTTCGAAGGATCCGGAGGTGGCAAAGGTAGGGCTTGAAAATCTAACTATTAAGATGTAAGGATATTAACATTCTATAGGCCATCATTCTTTCTGACAAACCTCCAATTACTTCAACAATACAGTCTCTCCCAATGGGACTTCTCGATCAGTTACTTGGAGAGATTTCGACGCTGGCATCTGTCTATCACAAGCCGCCAGAGACATTCGTTGGACAAGGACGATTCGGAGCCGATGCGGTGCAAAAGAGAGCCATTGAGTAAGTCTATCTTGAAAAATATATGGAAAATTATGACTTATACCCCTCAAGGGAATTACAACGAGACGCTCGCGAGAACCCAATACAAGCATCGGCGGCAGCCAAAGAGGGCCAAAATGTGGAAAATCTTCTGGACATTGACTTTGACGGAGCCGTACCAGCCAGTGCAGAGGCGTCAGGTGCAGGAGGCCTAGAAAGTCTTGTTTCTGATACACCGGTGCGCGCCGCTTCACCAATGTCTCCAACCACGGGCTCAGGCAATAACATGGATGATTTGATGGGCTTATTTGGGAGTTCTTCGCCGCCGACTGGGGATTCGGGCAATGGGCTGAATGGATTCGAGGGATTAAACCTTGGAGGGTCACCACCGCCACCACAACAACAGCAGAAGAAGAGTACAAATGAAGATATATTAGGATTGTTCTAGGACAGGGGTTTGTTTACTTAGATTCCAAAAGATTATGTAGTCTTTCTATCTGTTCCGGTGTCTTGGCATGCGAGCTTAAGGAAACAGTGGATCTTTGATGATGAGTTGTACTACACATTTCTCTCTCACAGATGAGTACGTGCATGCATGTGCGTATAGTGATAAACGTGTAAATTTCTTTTTTTAAAGGCGGTTACCTATCGTTTAGTAAGCCATATTAAGTTACATAAACACATGTGATTAACTGGCCCCTGTGGAATTGGGTCACATAGCAAAGGCATGTAGACATAAAGCCTTGAAAACTGACGAAAAAAGAAGAAAACTGCGGTCTTTGAGAATGGCGTATGGTGCCAGTCACGATAAACCTACCAACATTCTCCCTAAACATGCCCTCCACGCCGAACCTATTACACATCCCAAAATTTTAGATATAGGAAATTTTAAAACATACATTAGATAGCTCTGGTGATTATCTACAGAGTGGCTGTTTTGAATTTCTAGATTTCTTAGTTTGAATGTGGGTTAATAGGCTTTCTAGCTGGGGTGCATGTAGTTTTGGTGTAAGAGGTCAATATCTTAGGGTTAGGGTAGAATACTGAGGGTTAGGGGACTGAGAGTCTAGAAAACCTGGTTTTTGTCACAAAAAAGACATTATTTCTCAGAAAAACGATTTCATGCGGCCAATAATATATTATATGACCCATGGTCTTTTTGTCTTGGGCTAATACAAGCAACTCGCTATTTAGACCCTAACTAACCACCGATACAAGCAACTCGCTATTTAGGTATTATGTATGCGCTCTACTACTAGTGTTCGAATACTGATTGTTGTTCCCAGCCAAGCCACTCAAGCATTATTGCTGCTCTGTGGCGTACGGGCGTTGTCCTGGCAACCTAAAGTCGTTCGCCTCTCTCCCATCGCGAGAGTCAAAGAACGTTTATAACGCGATCTCTCTTAAAAACCGATTCATTCCGTTCACCTCTCCCCATCGCTGACATCACCATGGTGTCGTCAATATCACGGTCTATACCTTCACCTGCTCCCAGGGCTCCGCCGCCGCATTACCAGACATTCCTTACTCCCATCCTGCATCGACGCTTTGTCCGATCGTGCGCAGTTGGCATCATTGTATGCTATGTAGAGGCTTTCTTCATAAGTAATAAATCGAGCTGTAAGTATTTCGCGATGGATAGAGCAGGGTAATGGTTCTGACTCGAGTGTAGTCTTATGGACACTATTTCCATTGAGCTCGACTGGGTTCAAGACTCTAGTCCTTTTCTTCTGCACGGCAGTGCCGGTTCTTATCCTCCGCGTCTCTCAACTTCATGTCGGTGTACGCGCCAATCCTTCGGGGTTTCACACATTTAAGAGGAGTGTGGGCTCATTCGGAACATATTCTACAATCCTAACATATGTTTTTGCATCGCTGGTCTTTATCTCACTCTATCTTTTGTCTTCAACAAAGGGCGACAAGTTGAGCTTCATTGTGGATGGAAAGTATGGTTTTCAAATGCCACCATTTTGGAATGCCAGGCAGTGTATTGATAAATTCTATAGGACCTATGAACGCCCCCGATTGAACGAGCGCTTTATTTATTTGGTATATAGCGCTTCACACGTTGGCCTTGTACAGGGAATTCTTCATATTTACCGTGACCGGGGAAGGTTGGAATTTCCAGATGTCAATGTAAGCCGTCTGCTTCAATCCCCGCCCGAGATCGTCCCCAACTAATGATCATGCGAAGGTCCCTCCAAATGAAGCTTTGAAGGCGCGTATCCCAGTTATCGTAAAGGATGCCCTTACTCTCGCTCTTATCACCCTGTTCACTTGTCCTATCACCTATTTCTTCGTTCGATCGGGAATCTGGCATTACACTTTAATAATTGCTAGAACGTTTTTCTGGCTTAACCGTTCCAGCAGTGTCCCGTCATGGCCGATCGATACGATCTTCAGAAATCTTTGGGTCGCTTTTCTACTTGGATGTATCTGGGAATCGGTCCACACTGCTTTCAGTATCTACTTCTCCGAGGAGCCAATCAAGGATGGGAAGGCCATCAGTGAGAAATCACCAGATCCAAACGGCACATTAGTATCTGGTCTGAGAGCAACCGGCCTCCTGACGCAGGTTATGGCATTCTCGGAGCTGGTTTTCATCTCTCATAATTCGCCCGCGAGGAGGAAGTCCATATTTACAGACGTTGATAGAAAGCCGACAAACATCTGGGAACAGATCATGAAGGAATGCCTTGTGGTGATTGAAGATGTGGATTCGAAATTGACCGGGGTTGGGAGGGCAGCTAATGGTCCACTCCCAAGTTAGTCTCTATTCCGCTTAAAGTCCAGAAGACAGTATATTAATAAACATTACAGAGATTGCATCCACCCATAGCACCGCGCTAGCCCTCAAATCCCCCTCACCAGCAATCCAGTTCATTGCCGGCGATACAGCACTTCTCACTTCTCCCTCTACTTCTTCTGGCAAACTCCTAGACTTAATCCAATCTAAAGACAGTGCCAATTCTAGTCTCAGTAACATCATAAGAAAACTGCCGCCGTCCATGGCCGAAGCTGAAGCTAGCGTTACTGGTAGTTTCAAATCAAGGATCGAACCATTTCTAGCATCTCCATATGGCCAACCATTCCGCCAAACTATTCAGCAGCGAACTTCAATTCTCATGCCCAATGTACGCATCCAAGTTAATGCCGTTTCGTGTAAGATTCCTACATCTACTTAATCAAAAGAAATATTAACAAGTATATAGCGCTCGCCCGCCTAGTCACTGCCTCTTTGTCTGAGGACGACTATGGTGTTGTACAAAAACATGTCCCGCTAATCCTACAAGCATTCTCGTCGACTATCGAGGCTCTCGATCGATACATGGCGAGCCCACCCATACACTGGACTGATATCGAAGCCAAGAGTGATCCCAAGTCGTTAACTCTGAGGGAGCCAGAGATGCTCCTGAAGGCATTGGAAGGCGGGTTAAGAGATATTGCGGTGGCTTTTAAGCCGTATGTGAAGGACATGGAATTATCGGCGGAAGTGAAAAGAAGGGTTTTGGAAGCTAAAGAGGAGGCGCTGCTATAATTATTTCATGATCTGTGGGTTTTGATTTTTTGTTTTTCCTTGACTTTACGAATGATTCCACTTGGGCGTGAGCTGCAGGTTTGAGGTTTGAGGTATGAAATTTGAAATACGTAAGGCGTTAAAACAACAAAGCTGAAAATGATACTACATCGGGATAAGGATTACAACTATGATAGATTGTGAATTATCATTTTCCTTCATTTTTTTCCTCTCTCTTTCCTTGTGGAATGTATCTTTAATGTGCTTTCGGAATTCTTTGGTTTGGAGTTTGATTTGCACAAAAGCACGGAGAGAATACTAGGTGTACTCTACATAGTATATACATGTATGTATGTATCTTAGGCTTAGAGATCGGCTGAAAGAGCATGTAGTGATATAGTTACATCGATTGCTATTCCTATCTTGCTCCGTAAGGCGGTAAGATAAGTGCGATACTAAAGTACCTAGAGTACGTAGATAGGTACATATGTACTATGTACCGGGTTTTGAGGGTAAGTGATCAGAATCTGATAAGTGAATGCTGCGGTGACTTTTCTCTACACCCTAGTACCTTGCGTTGTTAAAATGGGCCATAAAAGTTGGTCTGGTGAGATCTAAACTAGGTGCATGGACGTATCCTTCGTCATACTCTACATACATGCAGTATTCAGCTACATGTAGTGATGGCACGAGACAAAACCTGGCGAGACCTTGCAATTTGGACAAGACAAGACGAGACGAGACCATGTAAAGTTGAGTATGCAAGATCTCGAGACTTTCTTTTTATTCATTTTGACAATAACGTTGCACAATCCTTAAATTAATAACCCTAACCCTCTCCAACCCCCTCACTATCAAAGTCTCGAAACATTGGAAAGACTGACCCTCATATATTGGCAATTGTAGCGAAAGCTTGCTATAACGGTACCTTCTATAAGGGTAATCTCTCTATAACGGTAGCACTTCTCGGTCCTTTTTGCCCGGATTTCAGCACAATCACCTCTTATATAAGGGTAATCTCACCAAATTCCGGTCCCGAGCGTACCGTTATAGCAAGCTTTCGCTATACATACAAAACATGAACCCTAATATTCCAAGACGCTTTTCAATCGATAAGAGGCCTGGTATATACATGTACATAGTTCAAATTCCAACTCTGTCGTTAAAACAATTGACGCATTTGACCCCAGGATCAGAAGCCTAGTCCTGCCAAGATCCTAGGTTACTCGACCTTGTGTAACACATCATCTCTTGGCACCTATCAGTGGAACATCCCAATGTCGCGCGACCTACTTCGCATACAAACAATCAGCAGTACCTCCACATAGAGATACCTACAATCTTCTAACTATGAATAGATCGGTAATAATCGATGCGCTCAAATCGATCGTTCAGACTTGGTTTAAAGAGGATCCGAATCGCGTGACAGTTCGTGCGGCGCGAAGTCACGTTGAGCAAGAATTGGGCCTCGACCAGGGGTTCCTTGAGAATGAGGACTGGAAGGCGGAGGCAAAACGGATTGTGAAAGATGAGTTTGTGAGTTTCGAGGGCGCCGGTTTATTCTATCTTTCCGCCTGACTGCGCTGGTTCTAACGCGCTTTTCGTGCGATTGTAGGCAGCTCTCAACGAGGAGTTGGATAAACGAGAGAATGAGTCGAAGAAGAAGCCCGCTATTGCGAAGAAACCCACTGCTGGCGCAACCAAAAAACAGACCATGCGCTCAAAGAGGTCTGCAGCAATGGAGGAAGGCGAAGCAGAAAAGGCACCCAAGACAAAACGAGGCAGACCCTCTTCGAAGAAAATAACAGAAGAAGAGGCCACTGGATCGCCAGAAAAGGCGCCTACAAAACGGGGCAGCCCTGCTGCCGCAACAGCGAAGAAGCTTGCGCCGAAGAGATCCCGGGCGAAACCGACTGTTAGGGACGAAGAGGATGACCAGGAACTTGAGGTGGATATTCCATCTGCACACCTGCTGTCGTCTCCACTTGCTGCGATAACTCCGGATAGTGATAACGAGCTGTCGGATATTCCAAATGAGAAGTCCCCGGAGGAACTGAAGGTGCTCTCTCGACCAAGTGCCAAAGCTACGCCTACGAAGGATAAAGAAGGCAGTGACAGTGAGCTATCGGATGTCTCAGAAGAGCCCCCAAAAAGAAAGGGCAAGCGCGCACTCGCCGCAAGGCCTAATACCCCCAAAAAGAAGGTGAAGCCCTCACTAAAACCAGCGGAAATTATCGAAGGCCCAGGGAAGGACTTCAAGACGATCCTGCAGGACAGGTCTATGCCACCACTGGATGCAGATGCGGATGATGCAGGTGCTGGAAGCGATAGTGAGATGTCTATTGTGCTGGATCCAACACCCCAGAAGGGACGCTCCTCGATCACCAAGGTCCCGCCGCCCAAAAAGACAAAGGGTTCGAAGGCTCCTGCAAAGAAGGGAAGGACCAAAAAAACAGATGTAATTACGTGCTACTCGCCTCTCTTTACTACTCTCACGTAAGCTAACTCTGGCGGCACGGGTGAAGTCCAGCACAAAACTTGACCCAGAACAGGAGCAGCTCAAATCCCTCAAAGCCTGGCTCCTTAAATGCGGTATCCGCCGAATCTGGACGCGTGAGCTTGCGAAATTCGAGACGCCGCGTGAACAGATTGCGCACCTGAAGGGAATCTTGACTGATATTGGGATGACGGGCCGGTATAGTGCTGATAAGGCAAAGAAGATCAAGGCAAAACGTGAGCTGAAGGCAGAGCTCGAGGCGATTCAGGTCAACGCGGGATCGTGGGGAATGGAAGAGAAAGACACTGTAGAAGATGTTGGGAGGCCGCGGAGGAGAAGCGGCGGGAGGAAGGCTAGGATTGTGATAGAGGACGACGAGGATGAAGAGGAGGTGGACGAGGGGGAAAATATAGTGAGAGCAAGAGAAAAGGAGATGGAGGATTTGGCGTTTATGGATGGGCAGAGTGAGTCGGAGTAGTGATATCAAATGCCAGAGCATTTTAACTGTTTTAATTACGAGGCTTTTTTTCTTTCTTTTCTTTTCACCGTCTCTCCCACGGCCGAGAAGACCGGTAGCAGTGTTTTCCCCATATCCTATTCGTTTGTTGAGCATGTTTGTTGCCTTTTTTTGCGTGGATTCCACTTGTAGTTATGGCTTTTTGCGTTGTGAAATACTCCTCCCAGCGGTAAATTGGAAGGATGATAATTTATATGTGATTAAATATGCGTGTAGTGGGCTTTTATACCCATCTCTTCCTGCAATCTGCTGTTTGTAGGTATACGAATGCGTAGATAGAACTCAATAGAATCAGTACTTGTATGCATTATCAACTAATGAAGTAATCAATCAACCAATCAAGTCATGTACTTGCGCATAATGCAGTGGCTGGGACGAGTGATCCTTTGTGATTCCTCCCTCCTTTGAAGTATGTATGTACCCAGGGTGTCCCATGAGAGGATTAATCTTCACACAAGTCTATCTCGAGGTCAATTTAAGTGTGCGGATTCCTTTCATAATGAAAAAATAAATATAAAGGTCTGTCATCGATACTTTTTGGTTGTTTACTACTGGTTTTGGCTATCTAATAGTGACTTCTTGCCTGAAGAATGGTACGGTTATTTCCCATTCAAATAACACTGAATGTATTCTTAGACATTACAGAGATGTTCTACACTCGAAGTTTGAATTTAGGAAGCGTGTTGCGTTGTGCCAAAATATAGGTATTTGGGATGACCGAGTGCAGGCCTAGCCTATTCTGACGAAAGTTGAGTAACAGTAAATTATAATATGATGTATGTACGTACATACTCATAAATTCATGACGTTTCCGAACACGACTGCTATTGCATACCATACAAAAAGCGCCAAATCCACCTTTTTGTATGTCATGCAATAGCAGTCGTGTTCGTAAACACTACGAATTACTCATGCCCAGACTCTCTGTGATTGGCTATATGTAAATGTATACATGTACTCGCATATACATCATAATAATTGCACTAGCAGTCTTGCCAAGACTTTGCTCACGTTACCCGCCCACCATTCTCTCAGTGAAACGTAAAAAGTTTTTGAGCCTCTGATCCTTCGCGACATTCTGCAGTGCGGCAGCAATCGCCCCCCACCATCTCTTCTTTGGAAAAAAAAAAGTAGGAACATTTGCCAGCCTGCCAGTCATGAATATCTCAAATCCCGTGGCCTCTGAGGTCACCAGTGTTGATTTCACATTTCTGTCTACAGAGGATATTCAGAATCTTTCAGTCAAACAGATTATAAACCCTCTAACCTTTGGAAGCGTTGCAGCTGGAAACGTCCCAGTTCCCATTGTTGGTGGACTCTATGATCCAGCTCTAGGAGCGAGTGATCAGCTGAGGCAGCGGTATGTAGGGATGAACTGCAATTGCACTTAGATTTTTGAAGGGGTATTGCAATTTGCAGAACTAATATCTAGATCATTGTAGGTGCGCAACATGTCACTTAGATTACAAGTACTGCCCAGGACACACAGGTCATATTGCGCTTCCAGTGCCTGTATACCATCCTCTATTTTTTGACCAGATGCTCCGACTACTGCGCTCGACCTGCGTCTTTTGTTTTCACCTGCGAATGTCCAAAGCTGTTGTTAACCGCTATGTATGTAAACTCAAGCTGATCCAACATGGGCTACTACTGGAGGCGCAACAACTGGACGATATCCAGGTTGCGGCTAAGCCAGCAGTAAAGGCTGGAAGATCAATCGCAGAAGAAGAAGGACCAGGAGACGATATAGAAAGTGAAGATGAAGACGATATGGAGGCGTTTTTTAAGAAGCGGAACCGGTTCGTGGAAAAGGCAATTAAGCGGAACCGTGCGAATCAGGCAAATTGGAACTCGGCGAAGGTTATGAGCGTGGCCGAAGAGCGGAGAGCTCTTGTGAAACAGTTTTTGGCGGATATAATAAAGCCCAGGAAATGTAATCGTTGTCAAGCGTGAGTCTTTTTTTTACTACAATGTTTTTAGTTTGCGGCAATGGTTCTAACTATAGTGTAGGATTGCACCTACTTTTCGTGCCGACGGATACTCTAAGATTTTTGAAAAGCCCCTTCCTACTAAAGCGCGTAACCAGAACTCTCAGCTTGGCCTGCGAAGACGGAACGCCGCTCTTGACAGAAGAAAGCCAAAGTCATCACCACACAAGAAGTACTCCAATGCTATGGAGATTGACGAGGGTATTGGCGGTGAGATTGATGTTGAGGTTCAGGAAACTTCTTCGGAAGAGGACGAAGAGGCTCTTAATGAAGCTGCAGATAGGAAAGGATCGGCTGGGCGACTTCTGATGAGCATGGAAGTGCTCAATACCCTTATCAGGCTTTTCGATAATGAAAAGGATATCACACAGCTCTTGTATGCCCCGCGGACAGCAATTGATAAACACCCGAAACCTGTCTCAGCAGATATGTTCTTCTTGCACGCCATTGCCGTACCGCCTACAAAATTCAGACCCCCGCAATTCTCCGGTGGTGAGGTCAGCGAATCGGCTGTAAACAGGGGACTGGTTAAGATTCTTCAAGACTGCCTTTACATCAGAGACCGTAACGAAGCTATTAATGATCCTTCTACCACACAAGATTCTAAGACTGAGATTGTCCGCCGTTTAATCGAGTCGTTTGTTACTCTCCAAGAAGATGTAAATACCTTCCTTGACTCCACAAAGTCGCCTGTCACTGGGTTGGCCGCAAAGGCTATAGAAGAGGGTATTAAGCAGAAGCTTGAGAAGAAAGAAGGATTGTTCCGGATGAACATGATGGGTAAACGTGTCAACTTTGCCGCACGTTCTGTCATTTCCCCGGACCCCAACATCGAAACTCGTGAAATCGGTGTGCCGCCGGTATTTGCGAGCAAGCTCACCTACCCGGAACCAGTTACAGAAATTAATGCTACATGGCTTATGTCATTAGTAGTGAATGGCCCTGACACTTGGCCAGGAGCTGTAGCGATCGAGATGGAGAATGGCTCTGTTCAGCGTCTACCAGGCGACAAAGAGCCTAGCGGTCGCCAAAAGAGAATTCAGCTTTCGAAGACACTACTAACCCCTGATACCCTCTCTCTTTCAGACTCCCGTCCCAAAAAGGTTCACAGACATCTTCACGACGGCGATGTTGTTCTCATGAACCGTCAGCCAACGCTTCACAAGCCATCCATCATGGGACACATCGCAAAGGTTTTGCCAAAGGAACGTACGATTCGCATGCACTACGCCAACTGTAATACTTACAATGCCGATTTTGACGGTGATGAGATGAACATGCATCTTCCCCAGAATGAAATGGCAAGGGCCGAGGCAAAAGAAATTGCAAACACCGATAACCAGTACCTTGGATCCACGGCCGGAAAGCCATTGCGAGGTTTAATTCAGGATCATTTGGTAATGGGTGTGTGGTTGACAAATCGTGATACTATGTTCACAAGGGAGGAGTACCAGCAGCTTCTTTACAGTTGTTTGTTGCCGGAGCATAATTCGCTTTTTGCGACGTCAGGAAAGAGCAGTAGAATCATCACCCTACCACCCGCTATTATGAAGCCAAGACAGATGTGGACTGGGAAACAAGTCGTGACTACGATCCTGGAGAATATCCGCCCCAAATACTTTGCTGGGTTGACACTATACTCCAAGTCCAAGACTCCTGGAGACTCCTGGTATAAGGGCAATGAGGAGGGAAATGTCATCTTTCATGACGGCTACTTCGTTTCTGGGATTCTTGATAAGAACCAACTTGGGCCTACTGAGTTTGGGTTAATCCACTCCGTCTACGAAATTTACGGCCCCACAGTTGCGGGAAGTTTACTCAGTATTTTTGGGCGTCTGCTTACGAAGTTTTTGCATATGAGGGCTCACACGTGTGGCATGGACGACTTGCTACTCACCCCCGAGGGAGATAAAAGGAGGCGTGCTGCTTTGGCAGGGTCAGATGTTGTAGGAAAGAACCTCAGTGTGGAATACGTAGGGCTTAAGCCAGAAGAGTATACCGAGACTGAGCTCAACGCGAGAATGGAAGAGGTTCTTCGAGATAAAAACAAGCATAATACTCTAGACCTGAAAGCAAATTCTCAGACCGCGGCTTTCACTTCAAGGGTAATTAAAGAGTGTCTGCCGTCGGGGCTACAGAAGGCTTTCCCATATAACAATTTCCAGGCCATGACTGTCTCAGGGGCTAAGGGGTCCGACGTTAACGCATCACAGATTTCGTGCCTGCTTGGACAGCAGGTTTTGGAAGGCTCCAGAGTACCAGTTATGGTCTCTGGAAAGACACTCCCTTGCTTCAGACCATATGATACGAACGTTCGGGCAGGAGGTTATATCACGGATCGTTTCTTGACTGGTGTTAGACCGCAGGAATACTATTTTCATTGTATGGCTGGGCGCGAAGGTTTGATTGATACTGCTGTAAAGACCTCTAGGTCTGGATATCTTCAGAGATGCTTGATCAAGGGTATGGAAGGTATTCAAGTGCAGTATGATAACACTGTCCGAGATAGTGACGGGTCGCTTGTCCAGGTATGTACTCTCTTGATATAGACTTAAGGTATCGTAGCTTACATTTGATTAGTTTTTGTATGGAGAGGATGCTTTAGATGTTGCAAAACAGAAGCATCTGCGCCAGTTCAAATTCTTGTCGCAGAATATGGAGTCTGTTGTGAGAAAACTTGCCGACGATACTGTCAACGAGAGCTTGGGCCCTAAGCTTGCCATGATTGCAGAAAAGTTGAACCATGGGATTGCAAACGAGCATCTCAAGAAATCAATGAAGAAATATGCCAAACGAGGGGATCTAGCAGCGTCAGAGGTTACCATGTCAGAATACAGCCCAAGCAGATATGTTGGCAGTGTTTCTGAAAGCTTTGCTGAGGCTAGAGAAGCCGTAAGTCGCATGAATCCGAGCATTCTAAAGCCATACTAATTTTTGAGCAGTATCTGAGGGAGAATCCAGACAAATTAATCGTCAGCACCAAGCAATCCCGCACAATGGTCGGAACTGAGCTCTCACGCGGTCTTAATAAGGGTGAATTCAGGAACCTGATGGATCTGAAATACTTCCGCTCTCTCGTAGATCCTGGCGAGGCCGTTGGTATTATAGCCGGACAGTCAATCGGAGAGCCTTCAACACAAATGACACTCAATACTTTCCATTTAGCTGGTCACGCAACCAAGAACGTCACCCTTGGTATCCCGCGTCTACGTGAAATCGTCATGACCGCTTCTGCAAACATCGCCACGCCAACAATGACATTAACATTAAGGAATGGCGTTTCTGACCGCAAGGCAGAGGTGTTTGCCAAGAGATGTAGTCAACTGATGTTGTCGGAGGTCATCGAGAAAGTCACTATTAAAGAAAGTCTTACCAAAGATATCAAGAGCTACAAGATCAGATTAGACCTCTTCCCTAAAGAGGAGTATGAGGAGGAGTACTCGATCACAAAGAAGACCGTTGGAAACACCTTCAAAAGTTCGTTTGTGCCAGCTCTTGAACGCTCCGTTAACAAGGTGTTAAATCCTAAGAAAACCAAGAGCAAAGAGAGGATTGGCAAAGATGACGCCATGCCAGATATTGGCGAGAGTGCTGGCACTGTTGAGGAGGAGCGAAGAAAAGAGAGCGCTGCTGATAATTCTGACGACGAGGAGAGCGACGATGACAATGAGGAAGACGCGACAAACGCGAAGCAGAAGAGCAGGAAATCAGAGGCCGTTTCCTACGAAAACCCCGACGATGCCGAGGAAGAGATCGCGAAACAGGCCGAGAGCTCTGGCGAGAGCTCTGATGAGGATGAGGATGTTGATGAGGGACTTGGGGCTAGTGCTCCGGATAGTGGGGATAATAGCGATGATGGCTCAAAGTCGAATCGAAAAGCTGCTAAGAAATCGAAGGCAAAGGCTGTTGTTACCCCAGTAAAGAAAATTGTCGTGAAAAACAGCAGCGAGAACGTGTCAAGGTTCGAGTTTGACGAACAATACGGCCAATGGTTCGAGGTGGATCTACAGTACCCATCGGAGGCACCAAAGGTTCTCATGTTGGGAATTGTGGAAAAGGTGTGTCGAGACACGATTATCCATAAGCTTTCTGGTATTGGGTCTATCATGAAAGTCCCAAGCTCAGAACTCAGCAAGGCTGAACAAGCCGCTGGCAAGGTAAGCTAGATCCACCATATATCACTCGTTATTATCACATACTTATCACTTCAATAGCGCAAACTTGCAGTTGAAGGTGTCAATTTTGAAGCCTTCTGGAACGAGCAGGATGAGATCGATCCCAACACAATTGAATCCAATGATATTGCCGCCTTCCTTCGCTATTATGGTGTCGAAGCCGCACGCAATAATATCGTCAAGGAAATGAATGCTGTCTTCGGCGGTCATGGTATCGCCGTTGATATCCGTCATCTAAACCTCATCGCCGACATCATGACCCGTGGCGGAGGGTATAACCCTTTCAACAGACAGGGCATTAAGACAGGGACTTCGCCGTTTTTGAAAATGAGTTTTGAAACCACGTGTAACTTCCTTAAAGATGCAGTGGTGGAGGGTGATTTCGATGATCTAAGCAGCCCGTCCAGCAGGATTGTTCTCGGGAAACTGTCTAATGTGGGAAGTGGGAGCTTTGATGTGATGGTGGGTGGGTTGACAAGGGAGAATAGGTAGTAGGGCGGGAGAGTAATAAATTTGTAGGTACATGTAGTTTTCAATAGCTATTGGTTTGGTCCTTTTTTTTCTCTTTTTTTTTTGTAACATACATGTAGTTAGTAGTCGCCTCTTTTGTCACAAAAGCACTTTTTGGTTGAGTTTATTTGATTGATATACCTACATACGATTATTAAGACACTCTTCACTGTGCGGCTGATATGTCTGGGGATTAATTCAAGCTGCCATGTTCCCCCGTCCTGCGGGCCAGTCGGGCAATTCTACCCACCTCCTGAAGTGCCTCGATGCCCATCAGCATCCTAAGCCCTCATCCCAAGACTTACATATGAGGAAAAGCCCACCGATCTCGCTTAGTTAAGTGGTTTGGCAACTGTGCATGCATTCTATTTACTAGCAATGCCAACTGGAATTTCGGTCACGTGGGGATACATCTAGAGAGTGGCAAAGGCATGCCAGTTTCTAGAGTACTCTCACCTACGCATTATTTAACCTACACGTGACCGAAATTCCAGCCGGCATCGTTAGTAATTGCGCCATCCCATGTGAGCGCCTCCCGTAGGTTACTACAGTATCGCAAAAGCTCCTCCAACGATTGGTTGCGAAGCAGTGATGAGCATCAGATATTCCTTTTATATTTAACAGCTACCAAATAAGTGCGCGGTACATCATCTAGAGTTAATTATTCCGGTAGAGAGAACACTCTGTGGCAGTAGCCAGCTAGCCATGAGACACCATTATTGCCACCGAAGAACAGGACCTTATGGCTAGGCAATTAACCAAACACAAACCCTAAGGCACTAACACAATTGGCGTTGAGGCTGTACAGCTGGAAGGAAGTACCTGTAGAAAAATGGGCAGAGACGTACGGTACAATGTACCTCCCTAGTACACACGTTGCCAGCCCTGCCATAGAATGCAACGCGGAGGCACCTCCCCCGGTGGGCAGTGCCTGGAGTGAGCTTGGTGTATTATAAATTATGTACATAGATTCTATGGGGAGTATAATGGAAAGGCTCTTATAAAGAACGAGAACCAACACTCATTTTTTTTTTAATCTACACGAGCGTATAAGTCCATACACACACACTGTAATCGAACCTCACACCTAGCAACCACTACCCCGATTTCAATAATGCTTCTTCCTCTCTACCTCACCACCCAATTCCCGCAAAACAGTAGCTTTGCAAGCTTAAAGCGGAAGCACGATGACAGTGCCGAGGTATTTAAATTCTTTTAATTATGAACCTTTTTTTTCCCTCTCTACCATGCTCATATACTCAACCAACCATAGAGCGATAATTATTCCAGCGACTCCGACTCCGACTCGGATTGCTCCTCAAGCCCCGATTCACGCCCTCGAAAACTCCTCTCTCCGTCGCGGAGGATTGGCCCTGTGCCCGGTATCCCGGCAGATGAACCTCTGGACATCGACTCCAGGATCCCGATGCCGGTGCCGGCTGGACGTCGCCCACGGTCACGTGCGCTAATGTGCCCCAATCATTCTTGGAACTGCACTGTGTGTGGGAAGTAGGCGGATGGTGCTAGGGAACCGGAGCGGGATGAGGCATGGCTGTAAATATGAATGGGGCTGGGAACTGGATGTTCTTCATGGACGGTTCGGTTGGCATGGGCGGTGTGAAATTACAATGGCGTTTTCTGGTTGCTTTTAACATCTGTATAGAAAAAGGATAGTTTGGGAGGCGTTTGGTAATGAATATATCTAATTGATCAACCGAAGCTTATAAAGTCGCCGACGGATGGTTTATCCCAATTGGAATATCGAGTGATGTGCTGTGATTCGTCTGCGGGGGCCCGGGGCCAATGTCTGAACTTGCATGAATTTACAATATTGTGTATGGTTGGAGCGGCACGCCCCATGGGGTACGTCCGGTGGGAAAGTGAAATTGCAGTGGTAATCCGCAGATGGCATCGCATCTTGGCTGATAGAGGTGCCAATTGTGCTCCTCAACTCAACTCTGGGGCCATACTCGGTTATCCAGTATTGTACTAGTAGGTAAGTACATACATGTACTTACATACATGTAGTTAGAATATATACGTAGCTATAAGTATCAATATGTAGGTACATACATATAGCAACATTACAAACACAATCATCCTCGGAGACGTTATTACTTCGCGTATATACTATATCATCGGGAGATATCGCGGGGTACGCAAGGAAAAGAAAGAGAGTCCTTACCCCCCCATCAATGAAAAAAGAAAATACCCTCTAGCCTGTACGTAGAATTTTTTTTTTTTCACTGTTGCGACATCGGACAGCCGGACATAACATGACAGTTCCCCCTACTTCCCCCCGCCTCTTACGGTATTAAAAGACCCTGCATGTCTCTCGCCAGTGGCAACGGCGAACAAAAAAAATACCTAGCTCCCCTCATCTCTCATCTCATCTCATCTCTTCATAAAGCCCACCCCCGCCTCATAAAAAAAGTTCACAATAACAATTCTCGCCGCCGCCGCAATGTCACCCCCAGCTGCTCAATCCCCTACACTGCCACCTACTCCTGCGCTCGACGAGACACCTCTCGGGAAACTCGCAGGCATGAAGATTACAGAGTCTCCCGCTCAACCGCAGCATGACATACTGGCACTGCCGAACCAGCTCGCCATTGCTGGCAGGGCTCAGAACACTCTGACTCTGAACCGCCTCGGCCCATTGACACCGGAAGCTTCACGCCCGAGCAGCCCGTATGCTCCGCCGGTCAATTATAACGGATTGTCGTGGCCGAGTAAGACATTCTGAAATTGTGCCCGTGACTCATAGGACCCCCCAATGCTAATACTGGTGGGCTTGCAGGTGTCGGAACGAAGGAGCGCTTGGAAGCAACACCCGAAGAAGCCGCTGCGCGCCTTGAGAAGCTATCCGGAGCGTAAGGCCCCCCATTCCTGCCCTGTTCAAGAGGCGTAAGAGACAGCTGGAACTAAAAAATCTCCATGCAGCATCCGCACCCTCCTAGAATGTATCGGCGAGGACCCCACGCGCGAAGGTCTTCTTGACACCCCAACGCGCTATGCCAAAGCCATGCTCCACTTCACGAAGGGCTACCAAGACAACCTGCGTGTCATCGTCAACAACGCCGTCTTCGCCGAGGACCATGATGAAATGGTGATCGTCAAGGACATCGAGGTCTTTTCCATGTGCGAACACCATCTCGTCCCTTTCACCGGAAAGATACATATCGGCTATATTCCGAAGGGGAAGGTCCTGGGATTGAGCAAGTTTGCCAGGATCGCGGAAATGTTTGCGAGGCGGTTGCAGCTACAGGAGAGGTTGACGAGACAGGTTGCGATGGCCATCGAGGCTATTCTGAGCCCGTTGGGTGTTGCGGTCGTTATGGAGAGTAGCCATTTGTGCATGGTTATGAGAGGCGTGGAGAAGACGACTGCGACTACCATCACAAGCAGTATGTTGGGGGCGTTTAGGAAGAGCACGAAGACGAGAGAGGAGTTTATGCATCTGGTAAGCTTCAGACGATACTGTGATCGAAATGCCGATTTGGGTTACTAATAATGTTCTGTAGGTTTTGCGAAATGGACGATAGTCGCGCCATATACGGGGGTGAACAAATACTTTTTCTTTTGCTTCTTTTCTTTAAAAATTTACGAATGTGCTATATTTTTCTCTCTTCTTTTGGGTGGATTTGAATTGTTTCTTTGGATAAAAATATGTAACCCTTCAACAAGGTACATAACGGCGTTTTTAAAAGGTGGTATACGGTGTTCATCCACTGTCAGCTATGGGAGGATAAATCCTTTTCTCTTTTTTCTTTTTGTTTGAAAAGCAGTTAGAACGGGAGATATCATTTGGAATTGATACATGGTTATATGTGTATCAAGGGATACACGCCGAATCTTATGTTATGGAAGCATTGTTTGATGTGTCGTGATGTTGTATTGTAGTGATGCGGTGTCATGAGATATCACTCGTTCCACGGCTCCTGGGATAGTGAGGTCTTCCTTGCGGTTCACACTAACATTATGTAACTCTCATACATAACCATCCGTACAGTACCAAAAAGGGGATGTAATAGGTATCTACTGCAGCTGTAGCAATACAAAATTGTTCAAGACCCCTGATTAAATCTGAATCCTAACCATCATTCTGTAGAGATACCGTTTCCTCGCGGTATTTTGCTAGAGAATGTACCGAACCCACTCGCCTTTTTGGTACTGTAGGTACTCTACATGCATGCATATATCGTTTGGATTCTTAAATAAATGATTATGAACAAGACAATCTAAAAACTTTTTATTTTACAATTAATCCACCAGCTTTTAAGCTAGAGTTGCAAAGCCCCTCTTCTTCGTCGCCCTCTCCTCCTGCGTCTTAAACGCCTCCTCATCCACATACTCGCTCACCCCTCTCTGATCAACCCCACTTTTGACAAACTTGACCGCCGCCAGATTGAACCCCATCTCATCCTTCTGGTGTCTTAACGCGGCCCTTAGGTTCGCCCTCACACTATCCAGCATCGTCCGCATCGTCTTCGACGCCACAATCTGCTTATGATGCGTCTTGAGCAGGAAGAACAGGATCCGGCACGTCAGCGAGATGTGCCACTCCTTCTGCGCCCAGATGTCCAGGAACGTCAGGAACGACACAACCTTCTCGAACGGCAGCACGAGCAGGGCGTCTTGTAGGTGGGACGCCTTGATGCGCTGCGCTGTGGTCAAGACGTGCTTTTCGGCGGAGATATTGCCTAGTGCAACGAAGACGGGGTTTCGTGCGGGGGGCGCGAGGTTGGGTCGGGTGGCTTTGGCTTGCTCGTACTCCCGCAGGAGGGCAAGGTCGGCGATGCCGGCGTCGAGAGCCTCCATAAGACGCTCGCCGGCCATGAGGGTTTCGATGGTTTGCTTTCCAGCGGCGGTAGCCTCGCCGTCGTTGGCGTCGCCTTCGGCTTCAAGAGAGGTGGTTAGTGTGGATTCGTAGAGCTCTTCAAGCTCCTTTTCGCGCTCCTCTTCTAGGAAGATCTAAGGAA